CACATGAAAATACTTACTTACAAAGTTGTCATCATCCGATTCATTCACGTCACACGAGTTCTCCTCAAGGTTTTTTATGATGATCGATAAAACACCGTTGGGTACCCATCGACTTATTATAACACTCTACTTTTAATTTGCGTAATTGTCGTGTCCAAACTTGTTTATTGACCCTGCTATTATATGTGGGTACGTCTCTATAATAAGAGGTTTTTTTTATAGATAGGTCCGACAAATGACTCCACCCCACCTGATGTTAAGTGAAGGTGAAGTCCAGACGCGAAGATAGCTGATACAGCAGTTCTACCTGCCACACCAGTCATCCTCACCCTGCCGGCCTGCATGTTGCTTCTTCACGCCTCTTTTAAAGGATCGCAGGTTGTAAGAGGGAGGGAACACGTGAGCGGGCAGAGCATTCCATTTACGAAATTCTCTCTTTACCAAGCATTTATATATTTGAGATTTGTAAATTTGTAAAAAAATACTCAATTTTTTTTACTAGAAGAGAAAACATTCCTTCAAAATATACATCGAGACACAAGAAAAACCTAATGGTTCCAACTACTCGCCTTAAATTATGCTCATCGAGCACTTATAATATGTCTATAACAATCTATAATAAATTACCCGAAAATTTAAAAAATGAAGAAAATTACAATGTTTTTATTAAAAAAATTAAGTTAATGTTATTGAATAAATGCTATTATAGCCTCCAGGAATACCTAAATGATAAAACTACTATGGAATAAATATAACAAATACAATATTATTTTTATTATCAAAAGATATAATACAATACTTACATAATTAATAATTGTACATAAATCATAAATCTAATTATACAATTTCTTATTGGAGTAGTATGAATAAATAATTTTTATGGGTTTTAATTCATTGGATATAACAAATTATATAACAATAAGGAATTATGAATAAGACGTCCTCTCCTCTTGCAATTGCGATACCCTACACTACAGGGTCCATAATGGACTTTTGTCTATATGTTACCACCTTTGTATCTCCATTATGGTCTGCAATAAATGAATTGAATTGAATTGAATAGTACGACAAAGAAATGAGTCGCTAGAAGCGGCTACTAAAGTGGCTGAAGCCGACTACAAGAAATATGCCGGTGGCGGTGTTTTGTGGTTGTGGTCGGTGGCCCGTGTGCGACGACACTTAATGTTAATAAAAGTGTGTTTATGATCTTTAGGATAAAAGTAAATGTCCTGCTATCGTACCTGAGGTTAGACTAAATGGATATAATCTAAAACTGTATGTGTCGGCCGCCTTAGGGATCTAGCTGATATTGAGGGAACGGGAAGGGAAAGGGCGTTAGCGGTGCGAAGTAATATGTTAGCACGAAGGTTTGCTCGTTATAGCCAGCAAGTAAAGACAAATTTAGATTTAAACATCTAGCAGTTAAATGCTTAAAAATAAATAAAAACATAAGTAAAGACAACATTATTTAAAACATATAGTCAAGTTTTTTACACGTGCAGTTTTTTACACGTGCATTAGCGATCTACGGATCTAGTATAACAATGGGTTCAGAGTATTGTTGGGGCTGGCTCGTTATTGTAGTTCGTCGAATATGTTCGTTCAGCCACCATACCGATGATTTTTACGCCATTTTAAGAAAAAGAGCAGCCTCAATGCTACTCAAAGTGCGGGTTAGTACAAACTTCATTCCGAAATCCATAGGTAAGATATGATTCACCCGTTTTAAATAAATGGGTGCAACTCTGTATCACAGGCAGGCAGATTGCGGCCAAATAGTATTTTTTTATTTTTATGGCTTGAGTGTGATTTTATTTTAAATATATTTACTAACATAGTATATAAGTGAAATTGTTACTAACGCTTTATGGACCACACACACAGTTGTTCAAATAAATAAATTATTGAAGTGAAAACTTCTTTAGCGGCGTTGTACACTTTATTTTGTATGGGTAAAAAATGTTAAACTCGCGTCAGGTTAAACACGTGGGATTATTGCATCATGACACACAATAAAATTGGAAAGGTTGTTGACTTTCAATATATTGGACGAAACATTTATTTTACCGTATTTTAATAATAAGTCTCTATCTAGGACGTACACGCTTTATTGCGAAGAAAATGCATTTTTTACAATAGATGTCGCTAGGTGCGCTTAAATGTGATTCATGTAAGTTGATTTCTTTACAATAGATGTCGCTAAGTGCGCTCAAACGTGATTCATGTAAGTTGATTTTACTGAGAGATAAACTTTTTTAATGTAATATAAATTGTCATGTTTGTGTACGATAGCGCAATAAATAAATATTGTATTCTACCACACACATGATAGTACTTTTATAGTGATAATTAAAGCAATTCGTGCAAAATTATTCCCTAACCATTCCAAAATATCAAAAATGCACAACGTTAATATTCAAGTTTTCACTTCTGCTGGCACTCCCGGAGTGCAACCCGTCGCCGCGTCGTTTGTTATTATTATTCTGCTATCTTAATCGCTAGCAAATTAATTTAATACAAGGATAGGATATATAAGGAAGTTTAATAAAATATAGAATATTCATAAATAACCGGCATCCGATTAAGTTAGTTGGATTTAGTTGAATTTCAAGATGGATCTTGAAATTCCAAGTTTTAATATGGTGTTAGTATAATGTTCATATTGTCAGCTCACGGTGTAATGAAATCAATGGTGGTGGTCTATTATGGGTTTAGTCGTGGTACATTAAGTTCCTTAATGCGCTGGCTCAATGACCCAAAAGTGGATCTTGGCCTCCGATGTCGCACGATGATGCACGCTCCATTTGCTCCGATCTTGTACTGGTTTCGACCACTCTTCTTAGTAAATTTATCAAAGTTTTAACTGCAGTGATAATTTATCATTTTATTCATAAAAACATGACGTCAGTAGAGACAATAGAACAAACACTACTTCTATTGATGAATATTACACTTAATTGATCGAGTCGCCTAATCACTTAAATTATATAGCTTATTGGTAAATAAAACTAGTTTTTAACGGGTTAATGCACGAAACATTATTTATTTATTGACTTTTCACAGCCTTTTCAGGTCTGCATCGTCAGAATACTGATTTTTTATTTAATTTTGTTCTTTCGAAAAACTTTTATTGAGCGTTCGGTTATTTCATTGGAAGATTTTTAAAAGTGAATTAACCCGTTAAAAACTAGTTTTATTTAATAAGTGATGTGCGTGAAAACCTAAAAAACAAATAGCTAGCAATTCTGGCATTCTGGCTCTATCCTGAAATTTAATTTGACATTATATATATTCATCTATTCAAGTAAGTAGGTAATTAAAACAAATCGATTCAGTCACAAAAAGTAACCTTGATGTGACGAAAAGGAATAATTGAGTCTCATTCTACTAGCTAGACAGAATAACTAAACAAGAGTTGTTTGAATATTTTCCATTGTTATCTACAAGATTCCTGTTTTAATTTTAGTCTTTGTTCTAAATGCGTATACATATCTTAAATTATCTCTAGATATACATTTTAATGAACGTTATTAGGCCATAGTCCCCATTATTACTTAATACGTATGACGTGACGTGTAGTGTTGTATTGTTATGTGTCTGGAACGCGGGTACTGGCGTCATTTGATTGCGGGAGCCAGCGTATTAGTGTTTACATTTTGTTGACGAACTGGCGAGCTGCCCAAGCCCGATCAGCTCGGCAATCAGTCCCCGACACGCGAGCGGGAAACAAGCAAATGCGTACAACCACACTGTCCTGTAGCTGTACTGTTGTGTAGCCAACCAGCGGCTCGAGCGCTGTGAATCATTCGATGCAGTCACCCGTCTAAGGCTGGGCGCACATATCAGGTTTTGCCGTCGGGTTCCCGGATCAGGCTACATGAAGGCGATAGGGCTGCCAGATATAGTTTCTCAGATTTCCCCAGATTTATATTATTGTTATATGGAAGGTAAAGGAATAATTAATAAGGCTAATACAGCCAAGTCTGAGAAACTTTTCTTCCGTTTTCAATAAAAAGTTTGATGTTCGACGATTCAATGTTTTTTTTCTAGTTTTTGTATCTAATTGAAGACCGATAAATATAAATGGAACACTTCTGTTAAATTTCATCTTCCATAGCACATTATTTTAAAGATAAGCGTAAAGATCATCGGGTTCATAGATAATCATTAAAAATAAATATATAAATTTCCGCACATATTCCCGAAGTATAAACTTCCCCAAAATATTGGAAAGCATCCATAATCTAACAATATAAGTGGCGGCTTTTTTATTTTGAGTAGCCACGCTACCTTTGGCGGGCCTTAGACCTGCAATGACATTGTATTGTACATAAGATTGAATGGTGCTATGAATCCAAACGTTAAATATATTGCACCAATTAAGAACTGTGCAATGTGTTCTTGTTCAGTCGAAGAATAGGTCGATCCTGTTTGCATCGTGCGTAATAAAGCAACATGCCCGCACAAGATTTAGCTGCAGCTGTAGTGTTATTGCTTGTGGCTAAGCTTAAACGTAAAGAAGACGTCGTTGGTCGAAAGATTGGTATACGAAAAGGCAAAAATACACTCACGAAAATCTCTTCAAATAATTGTTGACTGAGGAAGCAGACTTAAAAATTTTTGAACGAATGGGATGGAACAGTTTCAAGAGCTACTAGAATTGGTCATTGGTTGAGAAAAAAAATACAAACATGAGGAAAGCAATACCACCTTTTCAACGCTTTCAATAACATTACGCTATGTAGCGACTGGAAATATTGTAGTTTGAAGTTCCATAGTGCTATTTCCCCACAAAGTCTTTCATTAATAATTATGAAAACCTGCGAAGCCATTAAACATGTTTTGAAGGGCGTAGTCAAGGTAAATTAAGACTACATATTATAATCTTTTCATTTACTTTACTTTATACCTATATATTGGTGTCGATTCTAGCATGATTCTCTAAACCTAAACTTAAATTTGACAGCAGTATATCCTTGTCATTCTCTATACAGAATGAAAAGGAGAGACTAATGTTAAATTTAGTGTTAAGTTTAGAGAATCACGCCAGAATTGGCACCATTGAGATGTTAAGTCATTAGTATAATTTTCCTGTTGAGATTTTTTCATGTTCTGCTGATTATCCTGTTGGAAGTACTGCATGTTCTACTGATTATGTGGCAGCTGCTCAGTTGGACGTTCAGAATTTTGCTGTGGACACTATTTTATAAAATATCGAGGCGATGGTGTACTGCTATAACTATTGTTGTTGTAAGTTGGAGTTGGCGTGGATCTGGTATATATCGGAGATGGAGTTATGTAACTGTTGGAGTATTTATTTTTATATTGCGATGTAAAAGACCTAATTGGCGTTCCATGATGATGGCAGCAATAGCACTTTTAGCAAAGATATGAGATAAATCTCCATTACAAGACAATGCCCAGTTTTCATATTCGACTGGTTTCTCTCTAAGACGGTTAGCTGCTGATTGCGTACGGTCATCTTCATGTTTTCTCTTTAATTTTTCATCTTTTGTCTTCGGAACTGCATAGGATCAGGAGATAACACTTGATCCAAACCTGTATCTCTATTCGGGACGTAAGAACAGAGTACATTCAACCGTCCGTGTGCGACATCCGATCGGAGAACAGAATTGAAGAATCGGATCGAGAACCCGATATGTGCACCCAGCCTAACATCCATTATATCAGCTGATATCTCGTACGAGTCGTGCTCGGCTGTCTCGCGCGCCAGTCATGACTCGGTAGTGCGCACACATGGATGTCGGCGTCGCTTACGGCTCGCCGTCGCTGCGAATACGCAGCGGCGTGAAAATCAACGGTGAAAACGTTAAACATGACTTGAACCAGTGCACTAGTGTTATGTCCGCGGAGACGCAGCGGCTGCTGCCGCCCACCACGGAGACCATAATGACCAAGCCGTTCCCCATACGAGGTAAGGCGCCTATGGTGGCTATTATAATAGTATGCGTAGCGTGCAAACTAAAAATACAACGCGCTACTCGGTCGGTGACAGCTGGCTTCCCATCTACGAGTAGTTCCCGCGCAATAGAAAAAGTGTTGTTCGGAGTGCATTCATTCATAGCGTGAACGATGCGTTTCATTCACTCGCTCAATATTTTTTCAATGCTCAATCTCAGAATTCACTCATGATGAATGAGCACTCAGAATACAGAACATGTTCTGTATTCTGAGTGCTCAATAAGGAATGGAATTTCATTTGAGAGTGTATTGTTTATCAATCCCACGACGAAAGGTCACACACAGTGATAATAATGAATCCAAAACTTCGGCTCGAAACATGTATGTTTTCGTTGTTATGAATATTTATGAGAAATGCGATAGGTAGGTAGGTATCTAAATGGTATTTGCGTATAACTCTGCTACATTGTTAAACATTACAACATAGTTGTATTATTAACAAGTTATTGTCAACTTCCGTCAAACAAAGTCCCCCTTTATTTCTAAGTTGATTCTCAGAAATATGTTCTGGGTAAACAAACTCATTCATTTCATTTATAACAAAAAGAAAACAATGGATTACTTTGTCGTAAAGTTTTAATTTAAGTACCTATTTTTATTTCTATACGTATCAAACATAATTATTATACCTAGTTTTAGCATAAATGTTTTCAGTGGTATCGAATCGAAATTCATTTATCGATTCTTATCTTATTCGATTCAATTATATTTTATTTTAATGTAATTTAATAAACACATGGACTCTTTGTATAAAATACCTATATACTTATTTGATTTTATATTACTTAAGTAATATTTGTTTATTTATTATTGTACTTGAATAAAGTTGTGAATATGGGTGTACCGCAGGGGTCAAAATTGGGTCCAATTTTTTCTGGTTAGTGTTTAATTGCAATTTTTTTTCCATGCAGCAAGTCTTTGAAGACAAGTATTATTTGCTAAAAAATATATCTCTTAAGAAATGAAGCGAGTCCTAACAACACCAGCTTAGTTTAAATAGGTACTGTGCTGGGCGTCCAAATTCTCTTTATTCTCTTTTATCTCTTTAAAACCATTTTATCCAACATTTCACTGTATGTGATTGAGCAATTCCATTTAATCAATTCAGGTAAAGAATTATTTCAATACCAGCAGGATATTTTTATAGAAATACTAGCGGCCGCCCGCGACTTTGCCCGCGTTAAGCTTTTTGAAAATCCCTCAGGTACCTAAATTTTTTTCTAGTTCTAGTTTGTTCTTACGTCCGATAGGGGTGCTGCTTAGTTTTCAAAGAAACTTTGACGATAGCGATACGAGTAGGGTTCTGTCAAGGTTCGTGCTTGGTGGGGTACAGCCACCGTGGTCGCAATTCAATTACAAAAGAAAAGCAACACTGAAACCTGGAACGTAAAATATCACTTAATAAAACTTAGATAAAATTATTATTAGTTTGGGAACTTAGTTATTAAGGTTAAATAAAAAGGTTTGTTTATTATTTTTACTTATCAGTATTTCAACGGTTTAATATTTGTGTTAAAAACTTTTGATTTGATATTTTTTGTTGATATAATTTTTATAATATACAACGCAGACTTAGTATCGAAATCTGTGAGTGAACAATCACCCCTATTTTCCAACCCTTAGAGTAGGGTAGGAAATCCATCTGGGACTAACTTCGAGGTATATCCTATCCCAGCTATACTCTAAGTGTGTTCCGCGGAACCCTAGGGTTCCGTGATACCTCTGTCGGGGTTCCGCAAGAATTTAGAAATAAAAAAATCAAAACACCTCTCTCTGGTCGCTCCGCGGCTGTGCGGACTCCGCGGCCGCGCGGAGACAAAACGCTATGAATGTTATTTATTTATTTATTTGTATTTGTATAAGCTTGTGTTACATTAGCTGGTACAATATCTCATAAGTTTGGTCTCAACAATTTTATACTTGTACAACGCGTTCGCTCTAAGTTTGCCGGTCTGTGGAATGCGCGTACCCTCCCCCACGTGACAACAAAACTTATAATGTGTCATAGTTTTACCCAAATATCTAACGTACACAATTTTTATTGTTACAATTAAATAAAAAATTTCGAACGTCATACACTCATACCTATCGCCAGCGGCAAACTTAAAACGAGCGGGTAGTATACTTGTAAGCGCTCAGTCTCTTTGATAAAAGCCGCCTCTGAATTAGACGCTATAGTTGTCAACTAGCGACTTTCGTCTCTAACTTCAAAGGATAAAGTCGATATTGTTTACAACGCTATTTTTAAATTTCTGTTTTTATTTTTGCTTTTTGTTTATCAAAGGTGCCGACTCGAGTATTTTCGAGAATATTTGAGATCGAGTCTAGGACTAAGTATAAAAGCGGCGATCGCGCGTTGGCGTCGTCAGTTGATGATTAGCGTTCGGAGCGATAAGTTACTACCTACTTACAAGCTCGCTAGCGAGAAACTGGTGTTCATTGTTTTACTGCCTGCTGTATTCTGTTGTCTCAGTTTTATACATTTCTTCCCTGTAGGTTCTAAATTTAGTCTCTTATACGCAGTAACGATTGTGCATTATTTAAACCCCACTATCCTGACTTGTAACATTATAAATAAAGAAGAATGGAACGTTGGCTTAAAGGTGTTAAACGTGTTCCAACAACATCTTCTAATGACGCTGAATGTTCAAAAGCAATGCGCGCGGAGAATTTAGCAATCACCGATCCAGAAGATGATGCCACGAGTGCCACGACGTCAAGCTCGACGGTTTCAAAGACGAAAAAAAGGAAGTATGATGAATCTTATATCAGTTTCGGATTTGTTGATTCCAACGGCTCACCTCTCTGCATGCTCTGTAGTAAACTGCTTCCTAATAGTTCCATGGCACCTGCCAAATTGCGTCGACATTTAGAAACCGTACACCCCGAGACTAAAGACAAGAATAAAGAATTTTTTGTTCGCAAAAAAGATCAGTTATTAGAAAGTCAAAAAAATATGATGCATGTAACACAAACTACCAACGAAAAGGCCACGGAGGCATCATACTTAGTTAGCTATCGCATTGCACAAGCAGGTGAAGCGCACACTATCGCTGAGAAATTAATAAAACCATGTGTATTAGACATAACAAAATGTATGCTTGATGAAAAATCTGCAAAGCATCTTTCTACTGTTCCGCTATCAAACGATACTGTTTCACGACGAATCCATGATCTGGCAAGCTACGTCAAACAAGAACTAGTTACACGTCTACAAAATACACGATTCGCTTTGCAAATGGACGAGTCGACTGATGTCGCTGGTTTGGCTATCCTGCTGGTTATTGTGAGATATCCATATAAAAGTTCTTTTGAAGAAGACATGCTTATGTGTTCATCGCTGCTTACAAACACTACCGGGGAAGAAATTTTTAATAAAATAAATATATTTTTTGAAGAACATAATCTCAGTTGGAACAATTGCATTGACATTTGTACAGATGGGGCCAAGGCGATGACAGGTAAAACAGCAGGAGCAGTGTCACGAATGAAAAATAAAGCGCCTAATTGTAGTTCCAGTCATTGTATTCTGCATAGACAAGCACTTGCGATGAAGCAAATGCCGTCTAATCTAAAATTAGTTATGGATGAAGCGGTAAAAATAATTAATTTTATCAAATCACGACCACTACAATCCCGATTGTTCTCATTATTGTGTGAAGATTATGGCAGCAAACATAAAACACTGCTGCTCCATACAGAAGTGCGATGGCTGTCTCGGGGAAAAACTTTAACAAGGCTATTTGAACTTAGAGCCGAGTTACAAATGTTTCTTTCAGCAGATACTTCTTTTAATTTGAGGGACCGTTTGTATGATAAAACTTGGTTGTTCCGATTGTCTTTTATGGCGGATATCTTTCAAAAACTTAACGAATTAAATTTATCATTGCAAGGTAAACAGACAACAGTGTTTCAGGCCTATAATAAAATAACTACTTTTAAAAGAAAATTAGATTTTTGGATCATTTGCATTGGTAAGAAAGAAATAGAAAGTTTTACGTTACTCACTGAGTTTGTTAGCGAAAACGACTCAGAAATGTTTGAAGATAATGTGTTTGAAGAATTGGTCCAATATCTCAGTTCGATGCGCGCATCTTTTGAAAAGTATTTTCCCGAAGAACACAATACAAAAATTAAAGTGAACTCCTGGATTCATAATCCTTTTTTACCCAACTTGGAAAAGCCTGAAAACATGTCAAATGAGATATATGAATCTCTTTTAGAAATGTCATCAGACACAAGTATGGAGTCATTGTTCAAAACGACGCCTCTTAATGATTTTTGGTGCAGAATCCAAGATGAATATGCAATGCTTGGCCAAATGGCTCTGGATATTCTTCTCCCGTTCCCAACTACATATTTGTGCGAAACAGGATTCTCTACCTACGCAGCCACGAAAACAAAATATCGCAATAGACTGGACGCCGAAGCTGATATGAGACTCCAACTTTCTTCCATCAAACCTGATATCAAGCAATTGATGAAAAATAAAAAACAGTTTCATACCTCCCACTAGTTAGATTTTTTCTTTTTTAATGTTTTCTATTATTGTCCTTACCAAGTGGTGAAGTAAATAATAATTAGTAACGGATACATTGTACTTTTATTATGCTGATTAATATAGAATACACTTATAAAAATAATTGTTTTATTGTAGGGTTCCATCAAGTATTTTGCTTCCCAAAAGGGTTCCGTCATTTAAAAAGTTTGAGAACCACTGTCCTATCCAATCAAAAATAATAATCAAAACCGGACTACTCTGTTAAAAGTTATGTGTGGTCATAAATTACAATCAGTGAGTGAACAATCAATCATCCCGTTTTCCTATCCATAGTCAGTGCCGTCTTTGATCTATTGGAGGCCCTGATGGGCATATTAGGATAATGGGGCCCCTATGACCCCCCTTTGGTAATTTAACAGGAACTAGGGACTTTGTATTTGATCTGAGGGGGG